CACCTTTCTTAATTTTTAAGATCAGAAGGCTACTGTTGGATGCTTGATTCGATGTCTTCACATGCCATTTTATCTTTTCCTCTTAAATATCAATAAAACTATATTCTTTTACCCTAAAACATATAAGACTATTTTATATGTAAAAAACCTCTATTAACGAAGGTATTAATATCATATTCTCGTACCTATTTAAAAATAATAATGAATTAAATCAATTAACATTTTCCGAGGCACATATATAAATATCTAAAAATAAATATAATAATATAAAAACTTTGTTATGTAATAAACCTAATTGATATATCGGTAAGATCACCTAGTAACCTATATCTAAATTTGCATTCGATGAAGGGTCCCCCACCCTATAAAAGTAGACGTTAGGGCTAATTAAGAGGAGGACGGGGGTTGCATTTGAACATAAAGCAGATTGTACCGTAAAGTTAGCAGAAGTTCTTCCCCTTTACTTCTCATGTCGGCCTTCCATTAATTAACCGGAAATTGGATCATTGGACGCATGCAGTGCCCTCTCAGTGATCAATCCAAATCATTGTATAATTGTACTAAACCTCAACATGGACCACATCCCACCTCAGCTTATTTAGTTTCTTTGTCACCATAACACTACTTGAATTATTAATAGGTGGAAAATTTGAATGAGAAAGGACTATGGGGGAACTTACCAATATGAGCTGTTCGTCCTATTGATCAGCACCTATTAAAGCTTATTTCTTTTATAAAATTCGTGTAAGTTTCACATTGGAAAGGAACATTTCATGTTTCTTCTTTAAATTATTATATTCCCTACTTGAGTTTAACTTAAGTGGTTCTGATTAGGATGGTGCAAAGTTTGATAAAAGCTTGAGATTTATTATCATATCCCAAATTAATTAACAATAAGACTAACTCATCATTTTTAAAATCAAACTGCGTCAAGTTTTAGGTTTGCCATGCGCTTTAATCTTAAAATAGGATCGATAACCATTTCTAAAAAAATTATATTTAAAAAAAAAAAGAATCCCTCGTGAAAAAGGTTGAATATGCCTCCCTGCCTCTACTAAATTAAATAATTTATTATTTAGACCAACATTATGAATTTTTTTTGAAAGCATAAAAATTATTAAATAAAATAAAGACAAAAGAATTTTGGCTGTTTTTAAAAAATAAATAAATAAAGACTTGAGAACAACTCTCTCAAGTGAGGCCGAAGTATAAATGAAATTTATACAAAAGCATCATTTCTAAGAAAATAACCAATGAAGATAACCAAATGTCGTCAGGTTGAGATCTAGGGGAGTTACAAGTTTAGAAGTTGTTTTATCCTATTGTAAATTCCATGTAGACTTGACTTAAGCAGGTCAAAGTAAGAAATTGTAAAAGTAAATTTTAAAGCCACCCCATATATGTATGTATAGCAGCTTTTTATGATGATCGATCATGAAATATTGATACTTTTCTTCTCCAAAAACATGGACTCGTCCTTTAATAATGGGTTATTATTAATTAAAAAGACATATTATATATGGTGCGGATCAAATGTATATATATCGTGAATTAAATGCTTATGAGACATTATCAGATTTAACAAACTAGATAAGACTGGTCTGCATACAATCTTGTAACAAATAAATATTTGTATTTATTTAAACAGAAACATCGATTGTATTTCTCATGCTAGAGAGAAAAAACTTAGAAACCCAGATTTTGGAAAAGAGCATTTTAATATTGTATAATTTTATTTATACACATTGATATGAAACATTAAAACAAGAGCATGGATCCGGGACCATTCAGGTTGAAGAATGGGGAAGTCCAAGAAGAAGTGATCCCCAAAAATGGCAGATGCTCTGAGTTGTTTTTGCAAGCTGGCTTTCTATGTTTATATCAAAATAATAAGATAACGGATCAGATGCATGCACATTAATTGCGATCGAGGACCATGCATGAGAGAGAGAGAGAGTCATTCGTGGTGGCCCGATGATAGGAAGTGACCACAAACATAAATACACACACAAATCAAAGAGTGATAAACCCTTTGCATATTGATTGGGTGGCTAACATTCCTACTGAAGAAGCTAGCTTAGGTGCTGCCCTCCCAAATGCAAAACCTAAACTACTTTCGAGAGTTACAATAAGGTTTGGGTATCTAACTACCCAATTGCTTACACCGTCCACATCTCTCGTGTTTTCCTCTCATTTTGTCTGTTTTCGTTTCATTGCACCAAATTTGAAAGGAACAAGAGAATGTAATCTGTACGAAGCTTCTCTAGTGGTACCCATGTCGTTACTTTGGGATGTACGTGCTGCTCTCCTTTCCAATGTCCACGTCACCCCCACTGTCCTCATTTTGGCTTCAAGTTAAATCACAACTATACTATTTCTGAGTTTTCATGATATCCTTCCTTTTTTTGTTATATTTTAAAATTAAATACAAATATATTTGTTATTTTAAAAATATTAAATTTTTAAATCAAATTTATTTAATAATAAGAAAACTTATAACCATGAAAAATACGACAATTTAAAACTTCCAATTTATATACGTTTTTTCGTGCTGGGATTTTACCACTTGTAAATACTACATACTGATTGTGGATTAGGTGGTGCCCTAATACGGAAAATTTTAATAAATGACCAAGTGCACTTTTTTAAAAATTTAAAATTTACGTGTTTGTTTTATTTAATTTTAATATTTTTTTAAAGGTCACTTAAGAAATTAATAAAAAAAATTATTCTAACAAATAAGTATTATACGTGAAATTTTAAGTTCATAATATTAATGTTATACTTATTTAACATTTTTTTAGTTTTTGAACTAGTGTCTTCACAATCAGTAAAATTTTAATAAAAATATGGTACATAACAATGTTGGATGGAAATCTCAGCGATAAAGATCAGAATGAAAATCAAGCAAAAATTGATTCGTTTGGACATGAAATTAGAGGAAAGAAAATATTATAGGAACTCTTAACTTAGATTTAATTATTTTTTAATATCTACACGGGATTTATTTTTTAATTTGGTTCTTATATATATATATATATATATATATATATATATATATGAAAAAAAATGGTACATTTTTTTAAAAGAAATTAAAATAATTTGATACAGAAACTAAATGAAAAAAATGAATTTCGTTAAACAAGAAAAAAATATTTAAACATTTAACTTATATCTGTATAATGTAGACTCTAAATTACTTGTACTGTGCCATTGTTAATTACCTCTGTATGTAGCTCCTTCACTTTAGACCAATGTTTTTAACGCAGTAGACTTTGTTCAAGACCAGCCAAAAATTTTAAATTGGTGTAACTTCAAAAGATAACAAGCAAGTTCTATTTTGTAAATACGACTTTCTTATTCTATAACAAAAATTGATAAAAAAAGAGTTATGCCGTTTTCACTAATCATGTTTGAAATGGAAAAAACAGTGAAATGTTTGTTGTCATGCCATAAAATTTCACCTATGGACATTTAATCCCTGTACCTTCCACTCCAAGTCTCAATGTTTCCGACCAATTTTGCTACCTGCCATCTTCCCTCTTCATTGCCTAGTAACTTTCATTTCATCCATATGCTACATCCCTTTTTGTGCTATCAATGTGTACTTCCTTAATTTGTTGGGATTTTATCAGTTTTAGTCGGTTTTTTTAAGGGGGAGTTGGGTTTGTTTATTATATGTGTAATTTATGTTGCATGCTTAATTTTATCATGTTTCATTCATTTTAGAATATTGATTACGTGTATCACGTGGCCTATATATCTGAATCTGGGTCCCCAATGATGAATTGATTGTGTACAAAGTGATTCATTTTTATATATCCACTGCACATTGCTTGATAAAATGCCTGAAAGAGCGGATTCATATGTCATAGTCTATGTTTGCCATCAGATGCATGTGGTTTTATTTTTCGCCCTTATAAAGTTTAATCTCATACCATTAATTAGTTAGGGCATAGGAAGAAGAAACAAAAGTCTGCTTGATGGGTGTTACGGGAGCATGCAGCTGAGATGGAGGTCTCATGACATGGTTTGGTAGTGATCGTAGCTTCATTGTTTGGGAAAGTTGGAAAAACAATAGTGGGGGAACTGCACGTGTGTTAACATGGGGAAGCTTGACTCCATGACAGCAATGGTTTATAATAAAATGCAATTGCGTCATTTGATCAATACAGTTGATATCAATTAAAAAAAGTTGTTGTTTTTAAAGTTAAATCTTAAAAAAGTATTTACTGCTCAAAAATAACTTGTAGACTTTTTTTTATAATCAAATAACATTATTTTAATAATTATTTAATTATTAATAAAATGCAAATAATATAATTTATCTTATTAATGCAAGTTAAGCCCATATGCAAAATTCTTTTAAAAAATAAATGTAGCTTTATTTTTATAACAAGTAAGATTTTATCATAATGTCAAAACATGCATAAACAATATTTTGTGCATATTTTAGGTGGAAAAGAAGTTAAAAATATGACCACATTGGGAGTGCCAACAAATTTAGTACCCAAAGATTGGATAGAAATTGGATAGAAAATTGAAATGCACATTCTATATATCCCTTGCTTTGAAGAAATGACATATTTGTCCTCTTCCGAGAGTCTGCCCAATTTGTTTCATGAGGCATATCCGGAACTGAGAGAAATTGGTACGTTTGGGAATGCGGCATGGAGGAATGGAAGGGTTGCTGGTGGTGGCGTCCATCACCAAAACCCTATCCTCTGTAACACCGAACCTCCCTCACTCTCTTGCGCTTTAAACACACAACCCATAATCCTCAAAATCCTTTCCAACCCATCCATTAGCCCTTCCCAAAAACTTCAATTCTTCAACTGCGCCTCACGTTGATTCCAAATCCGTCGCTTACAACCACTTGTTGGTTGCCCTTAGAAAAGCCCACATGGAAGTCGAGTTCAAACAAGTGTTTCACAGTCTCGGGGACAATAAAGGGTTTTCCTTTGATACATGGGGTTATAATATCTCTATCTACGCGTTTGGTTGTTGGGGCGATTTGGCTGGTTCCTTGGCCCTTTACAAAGAGATAGAGGTTAAGGGTTTGGTTTCCCCCGATTTGTGCACCTGTAACACCCTCATCACTGTGCTTTGCAAGCATCGCAAGGTGGAGGATGCACTCCTTTTGTGGGAGGAGCTGAACGGGTCACCTCATCAATCTGACAACTTCACTCACACCATCCTTATTCAAGCTTGTTCTAAGACCTATAGAATAGAGGATGCCACCAGAATTTTTAGGTACATGCAGGGCCACGGTTTCCGTTCTGATACGCTTGTTTATAACTCTTTGTTCCATGGACTCTTCAAGGCCACAAAGGTTTCTGAGGGTGAAGGCGTTCTCTTGGACTTCCAATATGCTGATTCATGGATTGGTTAAGAATGGGAGGGCGGAAGCTGCTTACACTCTGTTTTGTGATCTCAAGAAGAAGGGTCAGTTTGTGGATGGGATTACTTGCAGCATTATTGTGCTGCAGCTTTGTAAGGAGGGTCAATTGGAGGAGGCGCTGCATTTGGGGGAGGAAATGGAAAGCAGGGGTTTTGTTGTTGATCTTGTTACCATAACTTCTCTCTTGATTAGCATTCATAAACACGGTCGCTGGGACTGGACAGAAAGGCTTTTGAAGCATGTCAGGGAAGGTGATTTAGTGCCCAGTGTTCTCAAGTGGAAAGCTGGAATGAAAGCTTCTATGAAGAACCCTCCTTGCAAGAAAGAGGATTATTCCCCGTTGTTCCCTTCGAAGGGAGATTTTAGTGACATCTTGAGCTTCATGAATGCCAACCTTGATCCTCATGATGGGGAGGAAAATTCATGCAATGAAATTGACGAGTGGTCATCATCTCCACACATGGATAAATTGGCCAATCAAGTTAGCTCCACTGGCTATTCTTCACAGCTGTTTACCCCTTCCCGTGGACAACGGGTTCAAGAAAAAGGATCGGATTCTTTTGATATTGACATGGTGAATACTTTCTTGTCTATATTTTTGGCCAAAGGAAAGTTAAGCTTGACTTGCAAATTGTTTTGAGATTTTCAGTGACACAGGTGTGGATCCTGTGAGTTATACTAACAATTCTATCATGAGCTCTTTTGTTAAAAAGGGCTATTTCACTGAGGCTTGGGCTATTCTTACTGAAATGGGAGAAAAGGTTTGCCCTGCGGATATAGCAACCTACAATATGCTAATTCAAGGTTTGGGAAAGGTGGGAAGAGCAGATCTTGCCAGTGCTGTTCTTGATAGGCTAGTGAAGCAGGGTGGTTATCTTGACATTGTTATGTACAACACTCTCATCAATGCTCTGGGGAAGGCCGGCCGAATCGATGAAGTGAACCAGTTCTTTGAACAAATGAAGAGTAGTGGGATAAATCCTGATGTTGTCACTTATAACACATTAATTGAAGTTCATAGTAAGGCAGGGCGATTGAAAGATGCTTATAAGTTCTTGAAAATGATGCTGGATGCTGGATGCAACCCTAACCACGTTACAGACACTACTTTAGATTATCTAGGGCGGGAAATTGATAAATTGAGATGCCAAAAGGCATCCATTTTGAGGGAAAAGGATGATCCTTCGTGAGATGAGTTTTTTAAAGCTAAAGTGGGGTGGATGGGATAAAATTCCAACAGTCTTGGAAAAATGGAATTTGTAATATAATTTTTAGAAGTATACAGTTATCAATTCTTACTCCAAACGTTTAAGTATATCTGTAATGTAGTTTTTGGTGGGATTGGTTCTGACTTCTAACTCAACGTGAATTTGACTAGCAGTAATTAGAATATTTAAAAATTAACATGATTTTTTATACAATTATTATTTTTTATTTTTTTAGATACACGTATTTTAAAATATATATCAAAATTAAAAAAAGACGCTAAAAGATGTTTCCCTTTAAATGTATAAAAAATAATTTTCTTTGACTTTTGCTGTACTGTGCCTTTCGGAGAGAAATTGGAGTAAATGGTTTTATTTATTCAAAGGGAATTTCTTAAAGAGAGAAAATATATTTAGCTAAGGTCCCACAAAATCTATGATTGATTCGCAGGGAGAATAGCTATAAGAATCTCTCCTCTTTTAGTGGTGACAAGTGCCAACTAATAGATTTTATTCAAGCCAAGAGACCATGTGAACCACCAGATTTTGATTTTTGCAGAGGTAAACCTATCCTATTAGATTCCGCATGCCACATGGCAACCCACCATCTCACTACCGATTCGCACTCCAATCCGTTAAGATAAGACCCCCCATACATCAACAAATTTGCATCTCTTTCCCCAGCATCAAACATATACACGGAAACAGAGAGTGCAACTCAAACAAATCGTTTATTTTTCCAATCCAGGTGAGCCTGACATGGCTTCGGCTTGTGCTTCCTCTGCCATTGCAGCTGTTGCCATCTCTACGCCAAGGCAAGTTTGTCCACTCTCCCATTACTTGCAAATATATTCACTTTTGTTTGTCTCAGTAACGTACAGAGTACATGAATTTCCAATTAATTAAAATGATGGAAACCCCTCTCTTTAATAACGTATAGCATACTTACCTGAACCTTGATTTAATCATTCATGAAAATTCAAGCATTTCATGCGTGCACATAATTGATCAGAGTTAGTGAATGCATACAGTTCCCAGAAGAATGGATCACCATTGGGAACCCCAAAAGCTTCTTTCTTTGGTGGGAGGAAATTGAGGGTGAACAAGTACAAGGCACCAGTTGGAGGCCGATCCACCACCACAGTGTGTGCAGTAGCTGAACCTAACAGGCCTCTCTGGTTTCCAGGCAGCACTCCTCCTCCATGGCTTGATGGCAGTCTCCCTGGAGACTTTGGCTTTGATCCTCTTGGTCTTGGTAAGTGTTCAATATATATTCAAATTTCATGTCACTAAATCAGCTCACGCAGTTTTCCTCTCCCCTTCTTGTTGTGAAAGCAAATGACAAAAAAAGTGGGTTTTTGATTCATAGGATCTGATCCTGAGACTCTGAGATGGAATGTTCAGGCAGAGCTAGTGCACTGCAGATGGGCAATGTTGGGTGCTGCTGGCATTTTCATTCCAGAATTCCTAACAAAGATCGGTGTCTTAAACACCCCCTCATGGTACACTGCTGGAGAACTGGAATACTTCACAGACACCACTACCCTCTTCATAGTTGAGCTCTTTTTCATTGGCTGGGCTGAAGGTAGAAGATGGGCTGACATAATCAAGCCAGGGTGTGTCAACACTGATCCCATCTTTCCCAACAAGAAGCTCACGGGAACTGATGTTGGTTACCCGGGTGGCCTTTGGTTTGACCCCCTTGGATGGGGAGCTGGTTCTCCTGAGAAGATCAAGGAGTTGAGAACTAAGGAGATCAAGAATGGGAGATTGGCCATGTTGGCTGTGATGGGTGCATGGTTCCAGCACATTTACACTGGCACCGGTCCTATTGACAATCTCTTTGCTCACCTTGCAGATCCTGGCCATGCTACCGTTTTTGCTGTAAGTACTATTTAGTGGTACACTGTTGTGACTTCAATTATCATGGAATTGTTTATACTGAGTTTGTCTTTGTTTGCTTGACGAATACTACAGGCTTTTACCTCTAAGTGAAAAGAAAGGCTAAGAGGAGCTTCTGGATCAGATTGCAAGGCTGGTAGAAACATCGGTGAACATGTTTCACCCAAGTAATAGAGCCCTAGTGTCTTAGGAGAGGAGTGTGTATGTCGGTAGAAACTAAAAAGCTTGTAATATGGCTACTTGTATGCATTGCACAGAATGATAATTGAACGTACAAAAACCTATTTAAGATTTAGATGCCATGAATGTAAGTTCGGGTAATAATCATGTTTGTGCATATATGATAACCAGCTTAGAGGATATTTCATCCACGGCAAAATCTGAGAAAAATACTCATTTTCTTTATTATCTAAACTTTTCTTTTTAGTACGTCAAAGGCTATTAATAAAAATTAGAATTTAACCCTCAAACGATTGACTTACTGAATATTCAATTATTAAGGTCGTGATCGGTAGGTATCACCATCGAAATCACGACGACCTAGCAACCAAACATTGAAGTGTAAGGAGTTGCCATCAATTTTGTTTGAATTAAGACAAAATAGAAAACTCAAAAAACTGATATATGAATCAAAACCTGATTCACGAGTCTATTTATTCACAGGAAAAGGCAAGAACTTAATCTTGTTACATCTGATACGCCCCAACGACAACTTAAGAATAATATCTTTTTTAAAATAAAGTAATTGAAGAGAAACAAAAATTATGAAAATTTAATCTTGATTCGATGAGTCAAGACTTTCTTCTACGTATTTTTTATATAATGAAAGTTTTAAATGCCATAATAGTTCTTTAAAAAATGAATGTTGGTAAGTTAACTTCTAATTTCAAAAATATATTTTTTATATATCTTAAAAGAATTTATTTTAAAATCTACAATTACGCAACTACTTAATAAATCTTTATAATCCAAATAATAGCATAGATAACATCTACTCAAACTCTATATTGGTCGAATTTTTTAATCTCAATACCCGTCAAATCTTTTTATTTCTGAACTTATCTTTGATCAAATTCAAATAGATTAACCTTTTCGCTCCCTATTCATTGGCACCTTCAAATTTAAAAATTTAGCGACAAATACTACGCCCGATCACTAATCTTTCCATCACTTTAGCTCCCTTTTTAAAGGGTTTTTTTCCTTTTTTTTTTAATTTTATTTGTAGTGCTCCAATCAAAATGAGGTAGTCACAGTAGGCCTTGTTCTCTGTGTTAACTTCGCTTACATTGTAGATGTTTGAAACCTAGAACCTTGTGAGTTGTGGCGAGAGTGAGGGAACCTAAAGCAAAGTTTGAACTAATAGAAATGGGTTTAAAAAGTTTTAAGGCACCACTCATTAATTCCAAATATTTTTTGTGGATAACATGTGATATGTATAGCATAACTCAAATCTAAATAATACAATTAAGAACACTCTCAACAGGATTTCATTCTTAAAACAAACAGGATAGACGTGGGAAGTTTAAATTGTCTAACGAATTGATCGTATTTCATTATGCACTTGATGCATTTTTGTTATGTTCACTACTCCACAAATATAGTTGCGGTAACCTTGCACCCCTGTTGATCATACTTGACCACCAGTAACAGTTCACGTTGAACAACTTTAAAACCTACCAAGATCATATGCAAAGCAACAACTCAGATAGCAAACCAGATTTAAATTTCAGGGGAGACAGCTAAGTCACCAATAGTTGGGAGAGAAATGCTAGTAACATATTCTTTTCTCTCTTATCTCTGCAATCCAACTAGATGCTGTTAAGCTAATCTATAATACCATCAAATATTGGTGCAAAAGGCTGAATTGCATACGGCAGCTGCCATTGTTCTGTAAATTCGTGAATTTATAGCATACATATTATCACTATCAGGTAGCATAAATATTCATAAAAGTAGAAATCTACTCTCAATTCATGGGGTACTCCATCTACAAACTTTTAAAAGAAGCCTTTCTTCATGTTGAAACCACAGGTAGAAACAAATTAAAGACATTATGATTCTGTAAGTGTGTAAAAACAGTTGCAGTTGCATATCATACAATCATTGCACCACGTTAATGAACTTCCGTCCCTTTTATTTATTCTTTACCCAAGCTAACTTGTAGTGCTACATCTAATTATAGGACGTGTGCAGTTAACAGATTCTATTGAGAAAAATATATGTGTGAAATCTCATGAGACATTCCAAAATGACCTTCACCATATTAACACTTGTTTGCATCACAAAATTCTCAGGCGCCACCATCTTGTTTTTTCCTACGATTGCCTGTTACATGAAAACCATAATAAAGTCAATAAACAAAAAATTAAGGGAGATGTGTTCAAATGGATAGCATAAAGAAGTTAGACAGACGTGTACATGAGCTGCTAATCACTGAAAACCTCTCCTTACCCACTCTGATTCCAGGGAATAAACTGTCCAATTATAGTTCAACATTTTAACTTTCCATATGATAATAACTAGTGTGATGTATCTTCTAAAACTGAACTTTGAAGTAGTTTATGCTTAATACTACCCAAGACAACCAACTAATAATAATTACGAAGCTAATTTGATTATGAAATTAGAAGCCAAAGAAATAGAATACATTTAATAAATGACATAACTTTTAGTTCAAACAACATGAATGTTTGCATATGGTTTCTGTGGTATTAAGAGTTACAGCTTTGGGTCCTATCAAACAGATTGTCAATATCTTGATTCCTTGTATCTTTATGTGCTGCATCAGTTATACGTAATTCTAAAGATAGATTTCATCTCTCAGAGCTCGGTCTGTAGCAGAAGTTGAAAAACAAGAAATAGAGATATCTTACCACCAAAACTCCTGCTCCATAAGACCTGACCATCAATTTCAGTTAGATGTTGATCATCAAGGCGTTTCCACGTTTTAATTGACTTGACATCTCCCCAGCCATTCTTCTCTGTTTTCTTCAAGCTAACTACCACCACTCTTGCTCTCCTTGACCATCCAGCTTTTCCATAAGCATGATATCCAAATCCCCCAGCATAACAAAGATGTATACCTGTTAACTGCCCACAGAAGTCATTGACATGATCATGGCCAGTGAAAACCGCCTTCACATCTCCTGCTTCAACCAATGTTGTGAAGAAGCCAGAATTCACAGAAGCAGAACTTATTTTTTCTTGTTTCACACCCGTGAAGTTTGATGAGTCAAAACTAGCATATTCAGGCAAGGGAATGTGAAAGTATGCAAGACCTGGAGCAGCTTCTTTTTGTGGCACTGGTCCATTCATGTATTCTTTCTGCAGAACAGAGAGAAAATAGTCAATCTGAAGATTGTGAGGGGAAGGAACAGAAAATCAGCCACACGTCTAATGAAGATCCACATAAACTTCCATCCATAGGCAGCTATTAAACAAAAAAAAAAGGATGAAAAGTTTGAGATTGAATGTACTGAAGCTAAAATAACAGTACCCTAAGCTTTTCAGATGTTTGTTGGTACCAAAGTTGCTGAGAGGGTTTGATCCAACCATAGCCACGAATGAAAGGAACCTTTGAGTAATCTCCACTATCAAGAAAGTAGAGATTGAGCACTGACTTATTTTCAAAACGAGTGCCTTCAACTCCTGCAACCTCTAAGTTATAGTTCCCAAAGCCATCAATCATGTGTGCTTGTGAAGGATTGACTTTAGATAAAGTGTTTTTCATCCCAACAATATGTCTCATCACCCCTTCCCTAGAGAGGGTTCCTTCTTGGTCATGGTTCCCCAAAACAGCTACCCAAGGAACGTTTGAAGCAATTGCAGGTGCAAATGCCGCATCCAATGATTTAGCCGAATTGGAGGAATCAAATCCAAATATATTATCCCCTGATTATATAGTGTTTCCAAAAGAAGTACAAATTTGCAGTCTTAGAATGAAAAAAAAAAGGATAATTAAAAAGAAAAGAGAAGAGGAAAAAACAAAAGAGCATAGTACCAGTGAAGACAATAAGGTTGGGGTTCTCAGCAAGGATCATTCTTTGGATGAAAGCGGTGGTGTTGAGGTCAGAGCAGGAAGTATACTGAGAAGGAAGCACGTCTAAGCAGTGGGTAGTCTTTCCATCAGCATAGTGCATGTCTGCAACCTGCAAAATCTTCAATTCTCCATTTTTCCCAAACCGCAGCTTCTGTTGCGCTGCCTTTGCCTCCTTAGCCGCCGAGAGGAAGATGCAAATCGGAATCAGCCAAAACCAATATGCCCATTTTAGTCTTCGTGCCACAGCCATTCCCCTCACCCCAAATCGTTACTTTTACGGATGCTTACCTTATGCTACTGAAATCCTTTCCTACTGTTGGATAACATCGACAAGGACAGAGCAGACCACGACGCGTAATTACGGGTGGGAACAAGAGAAGAAAAGAAACACCAATTTATGAAGTCATCTTTCAGTGATTCTTCATAACAAAATTTTAAAAAATATATTATTTTTTAGATATTTTCTTTTGTAAATATTAAATTTTTTTAGTATTTTAATATTTATATAATAATGGAATCTAACTTAGAATAAAAAAAAAGATATTATAAATTTGCGATTAGTTTTTTTAACTTAATGGTATAACTAATATCACAAGTTGTTTTTATCTGTATAATTTAATTTAAGAGTCTTAAAAACAGGAAAAAAATTAAATATTTTAGAGTAAATTATCACTTTAATTTTTAATTATATAAATTTTTAAAATTTATTCTGAATTTAGTAAAGACTTTATTTTAGGCCTTGAATTATTAAAAGAACTATTCTGATAATTATTGGTATTAGTAAATGCCAATAGTACTTCATAAAACTTTTGCGATACATTAAATATTAACTTAACATGTAAATCCCCAGTTGAGTAAGTATTAAAGGTCAAACAATAAACATAATCAAGATTTCTAAGAAATAGAAAAGACGTGTATTCGTAGTCATTTAAAGATAAATCCAAACATGTTATAAATATTATACAAAATAACTTAATTTAAAAAAAATTATTGAAGGTTTTAAAAACTTGTAGTATTAAAGTAATTAAGATAACTAGGATAACTTGAAAGGAAGTGGTAGCATTACTCATAAATATTATACAAAATCAGCGAGTGCAGGGCTACAGCACATAGAACTGATGACTGTGTTACATAATGAAGAAAGTAGGCAAAATGAAAAGGTAGTGGTACAATGAACTAACGAGGGACACGCTACAGCATCAAGCATCCTTAGATTTGAGTTCTAAAGGAGAGGACTTGAACCAAGGTACCAACACAGAAGTTGTCTTCTGATACAGCCTAAATGCCTCTGCTCTGCAATCCTGTTTCAACATTCGCTCCTCCACAAGCTTACTCACATAAGCCAAACACATGGTATTAGCCAATGCTCCTACGAAGCTCCATCCATGTCCCAGGTTCCAAGCAAACACAACTAGTCCCCACCACCACAATAGCTCACCAAAGTAATTAGGATGCCGACAATAATACCACAACCCTTTGTCAAGGATTAGAACCACGGGTTTACCCAGCCCTTTTAGTTCCTCGTTTCTACTCACAAAATTATAAAGCTGTGTGTCAGCAATGTATGCTATGACAATGCCAGATACACACACAACTATAGCTACCAAGTCCAAGATACTAAGACGTCGATCCACGGTGTGGATAACATAGAATGGAAGTGATAACCCAATAAGTAACAATTGGTGAGGGAGGTAGATGGCGAAGAAGGAAGCCCACCACCAATGGCTTCCATACTGTTGGCTCATATGAGTGGAACGCCAATCCTCCCTCGCACCCCACTGCCACTTTTCTCGCCTCAAGTAGTTGTGAAGGAGCCTAATACTCCACACCCAAGTCAACAATATCACTATCCTCGACCTCCACCACTCATACTGAGCCAAAGGGTGACTTGAATAGTAATGAACTAGCATCACAGGTATCACTGTCCAATAGGGGTCAATCATCTGCACCAATCAACACCAAAAGCAAAACGCCTCAACTTTAATCAAAACCAAATAGAAAGCAGAAACTGAGAGTACTGAGTGAGGAAAAACTAAAAAGAAAGGAAGATGAGAAGAGAATTCAGAAAACTGTACCCAGTGGCAGGACTGGATTAGGGCGATGACCCAGAAGAGCAAATTGACGTTGAAGAAGAAAAGGACATTGGCTAATAGCAGAGGATGGTGATAGCACCATGTCCAAAGAGTTGACCTTGACCACGAAGATGGGTCGCCATGAATGGCTGACAGGAATGAGAGGTAGAATAGGATGGAGGGTAGAGGGACCAAGAATGCTACGATGACGTTCTTCAGATTCCTATAACTGACACTGCCACTGCCCATGGTGCTCTTTGGTTTGTTTTCATTTTGGTTGTGTCTTCAGCTTTTATAGGTCTCCAAAAGTATACCATATGAGCCACATTTCCCTTTCTGCTTGTGGGCTCCCCACACAACCACGCCCACCGCGTCATGATTAGGTGATTCTACCATCCCAAAGAATGTATATCCACTTTTCCTCATTTCTTTTCATGATTTTTCGCGTCTTTTTTCTTCTAACTCATCCATCCACACTATGTTGTTGCTCATTAGGTGATTCGTCCAAGTCTAGGTTTAAGTTGTGTTTGTGTGGAATCGTTTCCTCCAAATTTGAATTAGGGAAAGTGTCATTACCAAGCTTGCCATAAATTTTGAAAAATTAGTTTTAAGTATTATTGGCCTTTAAGATAAGAATCTTTTGATGATATTTTTTATAGTTATTTAATTTTACATAAATAATTAATATTAAAATTATAAAATAAAATAAAAAAGACATACGCGTAAGTGTTAGCTGGTAACACTATGGCCTCTAGTTATGTGTTAGTGAGACTTAATTATTACGTATTCATGCTACTGCTCTCAATCCTTGACATGGGACTGACGAGTATCCGAGAAATGCTTCAGTACACCTGAAGGAATTTGTTTTCTTCAAGAAAAATAGACCGTTGGGTTCTATTATTATGGGATTCTATGATTGGACTTATGCATATATAACCACTATTGTTCTTCGCTTTATAGGGAGAAAAACCTTCTAACAGAGCATATAAATTTTTCGTACTGATTCATCTCTTAAATGACGCCAGCCAAACGGCGTAGATTGTTGCTTGAGAAAATTCAGAAGTTTGTATTTAAGTTTACTGAATTATTTATCCTAAAGTCCAATATCTTTAAAAGAGCTGGAGACAGCTGCAATTTGCTTTGAAATAGTAGCTATTTAAGATTTTGAAGTTAGTGAAAGACGTTAAGAATTATATAATTTGAACTCCAAAATGGGACACAACAACATTAGTCCATGGATCAGCACCATTGTCATGTTGAATACGATGCAGTACAAGAGTATACAACTTACAAGTGGTGTCATTAACCCGCATAAGTAAATGGGGGCTGTAACATCAAAGAGGTTAGGAGGGACCAATCCAAAACTGCGTAAATGATTAAAGTGATTCGATATGATAACCTTAGCAGTGCTGCAATGATGTTTGCGGCCTAAAGTGGCGTCACTAATGATATGTTAGAATCTAGTGGCATGGCATGACAGACAGCTTAATCATGCAAACTTAATCGCAAACAGGTCCCAACTTCCTTCTACGAAGGCCAATATTCCCCGCAATCTACGCAGAAACAATGAAAGAAAGTAAAAATTATGTCGCACCGTCACGCTTGAGGCGGAGGAACCATAATTAATTGTCATAATCAATAATTGCCACTCACTCACTGGGTATTATATGTATGCACTTCAAAATCTGAAGAACAATGGTTGGTCCACGCACAACAGTAGTCCTTAGTCCCCAGCGTGCGTAAGCTCAGTTGAGTCAAACAAATGGAGTTATAATCACTTGTAGAATCTTAAGAAAACAAATTAGCCGGAAATATTATTAATCAACAACATGTAATGTAATTCAATCAATAAGATTGACTTACATCCACTAGGAGATTATATAAGAATGTGAGCTTTTAAAGCTTATATACATAAACTACTCATAGTAACAACTCTTAACCCTCTATTACAATCCAGAAAACAACAGTTAAATCTCGAGATACGAGACTCACACAAGATTCAAGACCATCTCAAACAAACAGTGATTTACACTACTTCCATTCTTTTGATTCCAAAAATTTCATGTCTACCCCTCACCTCTCTCTTATCTGCCTAGACTCTAGAGGTAGCTCCTGGAATGATTTCACCTCATCTAAATATTACTGTAATTAAAAGAAATGTGTGTTCGAATTCGTTCGAGTGCATGACGTTTAACAGATTAATTTTGGTGTTTGGGCTTTGGCTTTTTTGTACATAAATGTTGGTCCAATAAGAGTGGACATCCCAAGATAAATCTTGTAGAATCAAAGTCAAACTCACCAATTCTTGAAAAATCTTTCACCTCTAACCTTGTAGAGTTCTCTTATTTTTCTTTGATTTTGGATGGGATGTTGAAAACTACAAGGTATCTTTGAATCAAGATCAAGACATGGTTCATCCCATCCGTGCCCGTCAGTGTCTGAGGCTCAACTTCAAGTTTACCTGGACAACGTCTTTTTCTGCTTTCTTTCTCTTTTTGTCCAAAAATGTCAAAGCAACTGGAGAATAGGATGTGGGCTGAGGCTGTTTTGAAGATACTTTTAGCCATATCGTTACTTTGTTGGACAATAAGGCGTATTAGCCCAAGATAATAAGGCTTTATCGTATGAGTTAATATTTCCATTTCTTTCTTTTTTTTTACCGAAATAACAATTTTCGATATTTATATATCGTGTTTTAGGTTCTTACTTAAAAAAAGATGAATAATGAATTTATTTATTTATCGTATTTCAATTTAACATACGTGCGTAATTGAGTATCTATTGAACATAACTACAATTGTTATCTCTAATTCCTAGTTTTTAAACAAGGTTCCATAAGTGTGTTTGAAAATAGAAAATATTTCTACTTATAGTTTTTCATTTTAGTAAACAATTATAAAAATTTTATTTTGTATTTCCAAAATTATGTTTTATAAATAATAAAAAATAAAATAATAAGTTTATAGTTGCAGAAGAATAGGAAATGAAAATTAATATTTTTCAATTTTAATTTTTTTTATTTTGCACTTGCTCTCACTAAAAAATACCCAAAAAAGGGTCTTAACTTCATCGAACACATTGAAAATCATGCCACTCCCATGTTTATTTTTATAAAAAAATTTATATAATTTCTTAAAATAAATAATTTTTAAGTTTATTTCAATGATTTTTATGGATATTTTTTAAAAATCATATAAAAAATATTAAATAAGCATATAATTAAATTTGTATACTTAAACGAACCTTAAAATTTTAAAGTGAAGGTTTTTAACAGGAAAAAAAATCATAAAATCTTAAATGAATTTGCACATTTATTTAACACCGACTTGCCCTAAAACAGCCATATGTAATAAAAATAATTTAAAAATATAAATTATTCTCTTTCTTTACAAAAGTTCCACTTGATCACCCTCCTCATGTGAACAGATTTAAGATAAAATTAGTAACAATGAATTCAATTTTTTTCCTTTTTACCTTTCTCTGTTATCTCTTATAGGTTGATCACCCTCCTCATGTGAATAGATTTAAAATAAAATTAGTCTGTCGTGTTCATAGTACATTTTATCAATGGATTCAATTTTTTCTTTTACCTCTTCTTTTATCTCTTGTAGGTTGTTCTCTTAGAATTTCATCAAATAGGGAAAAAAAACATATTGACTAGAAAATAAAATATTATATCAGCTTGAAGAAATTATTATTTTTTCTATATTAGTGTCTCGTGTTGAAAACATGATATAGATTTTTTATTTTTTTTATCTTTATTTAATGGTTTGATTGTTTAAGATAGTTAATTTATGCTACAATATTAGAATCTCCATGATTAAATATTCTATATTTTGATAACTGAAAACTCCATTTTTCTAAACAAAAAATGTTTAATTATAGCACAAAAAAAATGAACTCATACATGTTTTCATTTGAAGTTTACGTCCTTATTTGGTTCCATGGAAAAAACAAAAGGAGAGTTATGAAAATATTTGAAGTTCAAAATTTTAAAATTAAAAAAGAAATAAAATTTAGATTCTTTCAGATCATTTTTCTCTTTAATAAAAAATATAAAATATATCAGTATTTTTTTTATTTCATTTTCTCTCATTCAAACAAACATAGATTATTCTTACAACCTGAGCTTAAACTTTTGTTATTTTCAGTTAATTTTATAATATAATTTTATCAGTTTTTATTTTTTTTTTAAGACGTGATTGTCAATTAAAAAAATATTTTTATAATATATTTCAAAAAATAATAAATAATAGTTATTTATTAAACATTATAATATTTAATACTATTTATACATTTTTATTGTTTTTGATAAAATTTATTTTATATATATAATTATTGTGCATTACATATTAAAAAAGTCATTATTAAAGTGATGGTTTGAATCGATATATTCATTGAACTCTTGTGATGTTGTCAATCGCTATCGGGTGTTAGTTGATTCCAAGATTTCATATTGAATATTGATGAGTGGTGTAATAGGCAATGAAAGGAAGAGGGATATTAAGTTACCAAAATTAAGTATCGTGTATTATTTTTTTATAAAATTATATTAATAAAAAATTTAAAATAATATTTATGAAATTAAATTAAATTTTTATATTTTTAGACATTCAATCTATATTTAAAACTTATATTATTTAATGAATATCATATAAATTTATTAGATAATATAATATAAAATAGTATTATTTTTTTCACATTGTTAAAGTATTGAATTAAACTTGTTTTAAGTTAAACATATTTTTAAATTACTTTTTATTTAAATAGATATTAAATATTGATTTTTAAGCGGTTTTAAAGACCTATTAGTGTTTATTTAATATTTTTTTAAATATTTTTGCAAATATGATTTTTTTTGTCTTGTTACGATAAATAGATAGATCTTAATTTCCTTAAATAATTTATTAAATTCAAGTATTGTAATTTATTTTATCATAAATTCAAGTCTTATACATGAATAGAGAAATTCAAAAGAAATAATGATTAAAACAATGAGATTGAAGAGCAAGTCTCTTAATCATTTATTTACGATAGAATACTAATAAATAAGTTTATGTTATTGAGTAATACTTATATATATATATATACACACACACATCATTATCATTAATATATTTTTTAATTAATTTTTATTTAATTTTATATATGGTGATTCTTTAATTTATATGTACAAGATTCTCATTATCAAAATTTATTTAAATGTATGCTTTCCTTTTTATATAAAAAAATAATTTTAACGTATTATT